TTGTGGGTATCAAGGTATTGATGCGAACGAAATGCCAGACTCAAAACACGAACCATCAATGTATACTCCAGATGCCATGAACGTGCAACAGATGCAACAAGCAGAAGAAGAGAGTGATGTTGGAGGTGCTGCTGGGGGAGAAGAGTCCATAGACAACTCTCTTGCTCAATACCAAGGTGGGGGCACTGTTTGTGGGGTTAATGGTGGAGTGGAACATGTTGTTCATAACAATGTGTATGCCCAAGGGTCTGATTTCTCCGCTTTGCCCCGCAATGGAAGTGCTGACCAACTCACTCTCTCGTTTCAGGGGGAGGTTTATGTGTTTGATGCCGTTTCTCCTGAGAAGGTTAGGCTTTTGCATTTGTTTTCATTCCCCTTCCCATTTTTGTCATAACTTAAGAACATTTCTTCTACTCTTTGGTTTGTAACCTATCTATTAATTTCTAAGATAGTAGTTTTCACTTCCTTCTTCCCTTATTCAGTTATTCTTATCCACTGCAAATGGAGCTGAAAGGGTTTGGGTTTTGCATCTGTTTTTCCTTTTTCTTTCTGAAGAATGTTATCTATTTTTGTGCTTTCCCTTTCAGTTGTTTGATGTCAAAGGCTTTAACTTTGCATTGGGAACTTCTTCTTCTTCCTCTTTTTTTTTGGCGAATTATGAATTTAGCACATGTATATGTGGTTTATGCTGTTTAGATATGCGGGGCTTGATTAGTTTGGTCAATCATGCCATTTTTCTATGGTGTTGATTCTAATTTAACTAAAAAGCTTTTGTGGTTTCATCTGGTCGTTGGTTTATGTTGTTATTATTATTGGGCATATATGTGGGTCTTTATTGTCTAGTCCTTTTTTTTTTCGACACATATAGTAATTATGCAGGGTTCGGATCATGGTATTTAATCAACTGAAAAGAAATATATCATGAAGTATATTTGAGTTCATTCCTGGATTTGGTACCTGCCTTACGCTTTTCATCACAAAAGAAATTTTTTTGCTGGTCTTTTTCTATACATAAAAAGGGCCTGCTTGTTCAAGTTGGTCATGATTGCGCAAGCCAATTTTTTATTGAATGACACATGGATTTCATTGATTTTATCATTTTATGAGCCACGTATAACAATTCTGGCCATATTATGGTAAGGATTTGTGATCAGGAGCCTTCATTGATGTGATACTTTTGTTGCCGTTTGGGTACAGAGTGATATGAGAAAATTTATTTTCGTTTGTGTTGAACACTTACAGGTTCAAGCAGTGTTGTTAATTTTAGGAGGATATGAAATCCCTTTAGGCATTCCTAATTTGGGGTCTAACCCTTTTAATCCGAGGGTATGTAATTACTTTAACCATTAGAGCTGTTTCATTACTTTAAAGGTGTTCTAGTTCTACTACTCTCATCCTTTTGATAGCTCTTATTGCATCTTTTAGGGTACGGGTGAATATATTGGGAGGTCAATTCCACCACAAAGAGCTGCTTCTTTAAGTCGGTTCAGGGAGAAGAGAAAAGAACGGTGCTTTGATAAAAAAATCCGTTATTCTGTGAGAAAAGAAGTAGCTTTGAGGTATATTGATGATTAGTTTCTTTTGTTTCTTTTTTAGTTGTTCTTTTAGCAAGTCTGTCTTGTGGGTAAATTTTAGATTAATAACTGAATGAGTCAGTGATTTTTGCCAACTGATTGTGCAATCACAAACCATAATTCTTCATTCAAAATATTATTTCATCGGAGGTCACTTTGTTAATGTGCACCTGTCTTTCTGTGACTTTTAGAGACCAATTAAATGTAAAGAAGGGAAAATGGTGTTTGTGTGTGTATGTTGAGGGCAGGCAGGTAAAATGAAAGCAAATGGTGCGGCATGTTTATACCTATGGGAATTGTTCGTACTCCGTTTGTTGTTAGCAGAAGGCAATTTTAAGCATAAAATTTTGTGGAGTCTTACTACTTTTCTCTTTTGAATTGGAAAAAGTTATCTTCAGTATCATTTTTTCTGTACTTCTAGTCAAACTGGCACACAGACTTGAAACAACTAGGGAACTGTAAATTAAGGTCCAATGACATATACAGGTGCTGGGAGACTTATACACCACTTATCCACCTATGTTCAACTGACCTAGAAATTAGCAATTGAAATGCCTCACTTCTAAATCAAACACAAGTGAAATAAAATCAACCACTCCCTTAGGTGAAAAGACCTAATATTAGTACTAATTCATAATTGCATAAACAAAGGATGAAATAGTCCTTATTGTTGAATGGAGGCCTTAATTGTGGATATTTTGTTTAATATTTGATATTGCCTTTCATTATAGCCTCTGTTGTCTTTATAACTTATTCTTTTATATCTTCTTTTGTTGGGCTGATTTTCAACCGTTGCTCACATTCCCTTCCCCACCCCCCTCCTCCCATTTTCCCTCGTGTTTTACTAGTATCCCTAACACATTAAGTTTGGCTGTGTCAGGATGCAACGTCAGAAGGGTCAGTTCACATCATCCAGAGTTACTTCTGATAAACCAGGCTCAGCTTCTTCAGATTATAATGCAACACAGGGTTCTGGACAAGATGATACGCAGGAAACCTCGTGAGTAGCAAACTAGCAATGTTTTTCTTTTACCATCACAGTGAACTGTCCTTTTTTTCCAGGGACCTTGGACTGATTTTTCGTATATTTTATCTATTGCTTTTTCTCTTGAAGATATCATATGATTTGCATTGGTCTGACACCTCACGTCAAGATGCTATTTTCAAGTTTGTAATCAACATACTGTTTCACTTCAAGATTCTTTCTGCTAACTCAAAAATATTATTAGTCTTATGGTCTTCCTCGTTTTGTTATCCATTCCATTAATTTTCGGTCGCAGATGTACACACTGTGGAATCAGTTCCAAGTCAACTCCTATGATGCGCAGAGGACCTGCTGGTCCAAGGACCCTGTGTAATGCATGTGGACTCACGTGGGCAAACAAGGTTCGTGCAACACGATCAGGGAAGCTTAGCACATATTTCTATAATCCTCAATTAAAATTTAGTGGGCGAACAAGGTTCACACAACAAAATCAGGAAAGCTTAACACAAACATGACTACTGGTTTATTTTGAACTTGTAGTTAAATTGGTCAGTCTCTGGAGGGGTCTTGAGATAATTTGATTATCATATTCTCTCTTTGTCTTCCCATCATTCCTGTTAAATTCCCTGAATAAACTAGGGAAGTGATGATTAAATTATGTTTTGCAGGGTATTTTGAGAAACCTTTCAAAAGCTCCAGGCATGGAAATTCAGGATCCCTCTGCTAAGTCTACCAATCAAGTAAGCCAGCAATAGAGGTTTTTTTATAGAAGCTAGATTCTCATCTGTTTTCCTTGTCTTAGTATCTGCAATTCCATATAGCTTAACTAACATCTTTTACTCCACATCGTTTGCCAGAATGACAGTGAAGCTAATTACTCAGATGCAGTAACAATGACCACGGATGTTGTATCTTCTAAAGGAGATAACCATTCCCTCCCTGCTAAAGCTGAGTGATGACCAACTAGCTGCCTCCCTAGTCCCTACAGTTGCTGCCACATCAATTTACCTCAAAGCAGATGCTGGAAAACAACGGTATATATGTGCCTTTGCATTTGGCCAATCGAAATAGCAAAATACTGCTAGTGTCTGTAATTTACATGGGACAGAAGACCATCATGGCTCTTTCGAAACTATATCCTCCCATGTAGGAAAAAAGGAAGACAGAATTTGCAGGAAGTATATGAAATTAAGAATGAGCAATCTTCCTTCTACCTCTTTTCTTTTCTTTTTTTTTTTTTTTTTTTTGTGTAATTTACATGGGACAGAAGACCATCATGGCTCTTTCGAAACTATATCCTCCCATGTAGGAAAAAAGGAAGACAGAATTTGCAGGAAGTATAT